AAGCAGCGGTACGATGACAACAACGCACCGCTCCTCTATGTCCACATCCAAGTTGGGCAAGCGTCCTGCAGCGCTTTGCTGGATAGCGGCGCGTCTCGCAATTTCATGAGCCAAACCTTTATGCAAAGGGCTGGCCTTGGCACACAAGTTCGAAGGAAGGCAAACCCGACGGCGATCAAGTTGGCAGACGGAAGGACGCAACAACTTATCAACCGCTACATCGAGGCCGTACCAGTGTATTTCGCACCTCATGCATATGAACCAGTGACGTTCGACATTTTGGACACGGACTTCGACGTTATTTTGGGAATGCATTGGCTTGCAAGTGCGGATCACACGGTCAACTTCCACCAGCGGACTCTTACCGTTCAGGATGCCTTCGGCGCCGAACTGTTGTGTACTATTCCTCTTCCACACCCTTCGATCCGATGCCAAGTGGTGACGGCCAAGTCGTTTCGGGCTACTTGCGCTTACGAGCAGCCCGACAAGAGAGGCCTATGTTTCCTACGGACCGTCGCGGTAGCCGACTCTTCACCTACGGACTTGTCTTCGGACCCCCGTGTGGTGCAGTTGCTTGACGAGTTTGCCGACATCTTCGAGTCACCTACCGGTGTGGTGCCGAATTGGCCGATCTCTCACGAGATCATTCTTGAGGCCGGTGCCGTGCCACCAAAAGGTTGCATTTATCGCATGAACGAGGAGGAGCTTATGGTTCTCCGTGCGCAACTTGATGACTTGTTGGACAAGGGCTGGATCCGCCCTAGTAGCTCCCCATATGGAGCACCAGTTCTCTGCGTACAGAAGAAGAACAAGGATCTACGATTGTGCATCGACTATCGTAAGCTCAACATGCAAACCGTCAAGAATGCGGGGCGTCTTCCTCGTATCGACGATCTTCTTGAGCGATTGGGTGGCGCAAAGTGTTTTTCTAAGTTGGATTTAGAGTCGGGATATCATCAAATTTCGATCCGGCCAAACGATCGCTACAAATCCGCGTTCAAGACGCGATACGGGCATTTTGAGTGGGTGGTCATGCCTTTAAGCCTCACCAACGCCCCGACGACCTTTCAAGCGCCAATGACCAATGAGTTCCGTGCGATGTTGGACCGGTTCGTGCTGATCTACTTAGACGACATTCTCGTCTATAACCGGACATTTGAGGATCATCTTGAGCACCTTCGACGAGTGTTGGAGACGCTCCGCCGCGCCAAGTACAAAGCTAACCGCGACAAGTGCGAATTTGTCCGGCAAGAGCTGGAATGCTTGAGCCATTTTGTCACACCGGAGGGCATCAGTCCGTTGTCGGACAAGATTCAAGCCATCCAAGAGTGGCCAGAGCCGCAGAACGTCATGGATGTCCGTTCGTTCCTTGGCCTTGCCGGCTACTACCAACGTTTTATCAAGGCCCACTTGACCAAGCTTCAATGCGAGGATCGGCCGTTTGACTTCGGAGAGGATGCGCGGGAATCATTTTAGGCTCTCAAAGCCGCACTATTATCTGCGGAGGTCTTGCGCATATACGACCCGTTGTTGCCAACGCACGTCATGACGGATGCGTCCGACTATGGCATTGGTGTCGTCCTCGAACAACACGATGGCGTGGACTGGCACCCGATTGAATACTTCAGCAAGAAAGTGCCCGCCGTGCACTCCATTGATGACGCATGCAAGAAGGAGCTCATAGCCTTCGTCCACGCGCTCAAGCGGTGGCGACACTTCCTCCTTGGTCGAAGTCAATTCCGATGGGTAACGAACAACAATCCGTTGGTCTTCTACAAGACCCAAGACACCATCAATAGCACCATCGACCGTTGGATGGCTTTCATCGGCCAATTCGACTTCTTTCCCGATCACATTCCGGGGAAGTCTAACCGTTTTGCGGATGCGTCTGGATCATTGTACCGCAGTCTATTCGACCTTCGAGATCGACGACGAACTGCGGGACAGTTCCATCCGCGACTACCAAGCCGACCCCAAGTTTCGCGACAAGTACGCAAATTGCGCCTCTCCAAATCTGGCGCCTTCTCACTACTGGATCCAAGAGGGGTACTTGCTTGTCCACACGCGGGGGAAGGACCTTGTTTGCGTACTAAGTGACTCTCACTTGCGTACACGGCTTCTTGGCGAGTTCCACGATGCTCCCGCCACCGGACACTTTCGAGTCAATCGCACGATTGGCTGACTTCGTGAGCGATTTTGGTGGCCCGGCCTTCTCGGTGACGTCACACGCTATTGCGAGTCATGCGAGGTTTGTCGACGCTGCAAATCTCGCAACCATCATTTGTACGGCGAGTTGCGACCATTACCGATCCGCTTGTGCCGAAGGGAAGCGATTGCCATGGACATCACCGGGCCATTCCCCAAGCACAAGACCGGTGTGGATGGGATTCTCATGGTGGTTGACCGACTCACCAAGTTCGCCATGTTTTTGTCTTGCCGCTATCATCCCAAGGCACCGGAGTTGGCCGAAGTTCTTTACGCCGGTTGGATTCGAACCAAGGGTCACCCCAAGGAAATCATTTTCGACTGCGACACTTGGTTCATGTCGGATTTTTGGTTGGCGCTCATCAAACGATGGGGCTCATCTCTCAAGCCATGTTCGGCTCGCCACCCCCAAACCGATGGCCAAACGGAGAGGGCGCATCAAACTGCATAGGTTCTCCTTCGCACTCTCATCCATACCGACGAAAAGGATTGGGTTGAGCGGCTGCCAGATGTCGAGTTGGCATACGACTCGTCCATCCACCCGGCTATCGGGATGTCGCCCTTCGAGTTCGAGCACGGCTCGCCGGTCACTTCTCCGTTGGACACAATCATTCCACGAACGGCCAAGAGCGCGACCATCTTCTTTTCTTGCGACGGATGCAAGAGCTACTTGTCAAGGCGCAGCAACGCATGAGCCAACAGGCCAATCGCCAGCATCTTCCTTGCCCATTCCGCGTCGGCGATCTCGTCTGGGTTTCCGCCGCGGAGTTCAACCTTGAACAAGATATCTCTCGCAAGCTCCTCCCGAAATGGATGGGGCCCTGGCCAATCGTGGCACCCGCTGGGGATGCACCCGAAGGACCTTCACCATTCAGGTGCCCGCACACTTGCCCGTCTACCCGGTCTTTCATTGCTCCAAGTTGGTTCTTTACACGCCAGCGGAACATGACGATTTTCCCGGGCGACGATCGCAAGACCCACCCTCTATGGACAGTTTCCAAGAGGTCGGCGACATCATCTCCCAGCGACGCTACGACAACAGGCCAACCGAGTACTTGGTACACCTTGCGTACTGCACTCACAAAGCTGACCGTTGGTTGACCCCTGCGGAACTCCAAGCAACAGCTCCAGCGGTTCTCGAACGCTACGAACGAAAGATGCAAGGCAAGCCGGTATATTCGGCTCCACGTCGCACCCGCGTCCAGGTTCCATCTTCAGATCATTAGCTTCGCCCTCGACCCGGCTTGACTTCATAAGGAGGGGGGGGTGTTACGGGCCTTTTTCAGTCCCGTGTCGTTTTCAGCCCGAAAGCCTGAAAACAAGGGCCTACAGGCCCTGTGTCGTTTCAGCCTGAAAGCCTGAAAACAAGGGCCTACAGGCTCTGTGTCGTTCCAGCCTAAAACAGGGGCCTTTCCGGCCCTGAGTCTTTTCAGCCTGAAACGGAGGGCCATTTTCAGGCCCTCATGAGATCGACTTGCCCTGAAACTCAGGCAGCACACCAGGGTTTTAGCACAGACCATTTTGGGCCTGTTTTCAAGACAACCCTTGGTTGAGCTTCAACGCTAGGGTCTGGCACGTTTCAGCATTGGCAAGAGCAGCCTCCTGGACGGGCCAGCACTATATAGAACTGGCCCGCCCTGCAGGCTGCAAGTAGTGTCGTAGGGACTTCCCAGGCACTTCACGTGCAGTTCAGGAGGCAGGAGGTAGTCTTCAGGATTCGGCAGCAGCACTCTGGAGGAGCGCTGCAGTTGTACTAGTAGCGTTAGCAGTAGTCTTCAACGCTAGGCGCTAGTAGGAGCTAGAGTAGTACTGGAGAGAGAGAGACTGGGTGGAGGCCAGGGAGACTTACATGCAGCGCCATAGCTCCAGCTCCGTCTTCGAGGTACCTGCAGCACAACACCATCTTCACAGGTCAGTACCTGGCACATGGGAGAGAGAGAGAGAGAGAAAGTTCTTCTTCTTCCTCTTCTCAGTCCACCATCTCCCTCTCACCCTCTCGCTACCTGACTTCACCGCATCAGCAGACTACCAAAGAGCGGGATTGGTGACATTTGGATCCAGACTCGACATTGGGCTTCAAACATTTTGAGGAGGGATTATTTGGGACTTTGGAACGAAGACTTGGCGTTGACGACATTCCCATCTCCCCCCCCCTTCTTCGTCTGATTCCCTCCTCTTCATTTGTGCATGATCTCTACCTGGCGCATTCTTAGCGCAGGCCCCTTCACACCTTGTGATGAGAATGATGTATGTTTGGTCTGCGTTGCGACATTGATTGGGCTAGTCATTGGTATTCTAGCATTCTGCTGCGTTGTCTTGCACTACGTGATAGAGGTCAGTCCCGGTCAGGTCAAGACTTATATCTAAGTCTTCCACTTTGCTACAAAGCACCATTTTTGTATGTATCAGGATGTACACTGCATATTCCACTAGCATTGCATTGTACATTCAGTCCTTTTCATCACATTGCGGATCCTTGGTTATATATGTACATCGCCCAACTGGGCATGTAATACAGCCATAGCAACTGGACCTGTTGCATATATACTTCGAGTTCACAAATGATTTCAAAGTGTGCTCATCTACTTATGTGTATCCATGACGCTTTGTGTGTCAATGCATGTGTGTCGATGCATACACGAAACATGAGGGTGACCAGTTGTGAATCACTGACCCAATACGCTTTTGTTAGGATCCTGGCCAATTTCGGAGTTCAAATTCACAAAGAAATACAATGTCGTCCAATTGCGAAAAGAAGTGAATGAAGAAGAAGAAGAAGAAGAAGAAGAAGAAGTACACCAACAAACAACCAATGACAGTTCCCCCTTCTTCGCCAACCAACGCCTCCTTATCATCTCCTCTCTCATTCAAACAATAACTAATAATGTTGAATGGCTGAACCAGAATCAATGTCCGAATCTACCCTCCAGAATGCTTCCAATGTGGACCATGAGATGTTGCGCTTCCTCCTGGAAGCCCCGCAAATCAGAGGATAGAAAGTTACCATCAAAGTCAAAAACACCAAGGACAATACTGATGAAGAAGTGACCGCATTGGCATATCCTAAAGACAAGATAGCCGACACAAACGCGCCCTACGAGAAGCATGCACTCATTTTCTCCTTCTCCAACGCCGGAGCAAGGCTGTCACCCGTTAAGAAGAGGAAGTGGATAGTGAAAACCATTCTGGAAGAGGAGAACATCAAAACTGATGCCGACAAGTTCTCCCTGCTCGGCTTGGGCAGAACCATGATGATGGTGGTGTTCAAAGACGCCACTCAAGCCACACACTTGTTGGAAAAATGCAAGACTTTGAACTGTAATGGCTCTGTCTGCACCCTGTCATGCTGGAAAGCGGAAACAACACAGCGAGCCGAACTCCCGCCAGCTGCCTCCGACAAACAGCGATTGATGAGGGAACAGTTCTGCGTACAATTCAACAACATCCCCGCCAGAGGACACCCGCTTATCAAAGCCCGCCTAGAAGTGGAATATCCAGCCAATAAGGTACTGAAGTGGGTCCTTCCCACACCCGACTTCTTGGCTCCCCACAACGACTCAGTCACAGCTATCTTGGAAGTAATCACCGATGACCCTCCGACCTTCCCAGAAGAGTGGCAATGTCTCATTGGAGACAAAGTCACAGCGGTAACAGTCTCAACCAAAGCGTCCCCAATTTGTTTTAGATGCAAAGCCAGGGACCATCTGGGAACCGATCCCAAATGCCCGCACTCCACTGAACAGAAAAAGTTGAGGCAGAACATGTTAGTAGAGGTGGAAGGAGCTAAAGGAATCTGGTTCGTCAACGACTCAGACGACGTCGGTTGGGTCTTCAACGATAACATCCCAGATCCCAAATGGATCAGGACCTATACTAACACCACCCCGACGATTAAACAGCCAGACATTTTCCCTTCCTCGGACAACAAATGGCACCACGTGGCGACAAAGATGTTGTCATAGTCCTCTGGATTACCGGAATCCCAGGGAAAATCCACTCGGACCCAGTGATCGCATGAGGACTTGATGTGGGATCTGGAGTCGATTAGACAGAAGACGACTGCCTCTCTCTCCAATCCAGAGGACTATGACAACATCTTGGACATAGCCAAACAGATCATCGAGGGATGAAGCCCACTGGCCGATCCCTCCCTCAAGAGACAGGCCTCACCGCAAAAGACCAACGACGACTAACCAAGTGGGAAGAAAAAAAGGAAGGGTGGTACGCCTGCAGAGGGTAGCGAACCCTTTGAGAACCGGAACCCTCAGCCGTCCTTAATGGGCCCAGATCAATCAGACCAGGATCTGACCCAGCAAGGAATGGACATATGACCCAC